TTAATTCTCTTTAATCAGCCTGTAATTGCCAAATGTCCTACATAATAATTTATTACAATCAAGAAAATGAACAGGCAACATTATTTTAAGTTATATGAATAGCTTGAAAAGTTAGGAATATAAAGAGGATACTATAAGGAATATAAAGAGGATACTATACTATAATATACTATGAAGTATATTCCTAATGGCTGTTTTAATTTAAAATCCTGCACCTACAGTGGATTCAAGGATCATTCATGAAAATGAAGTAGAAAAAGAGAGAGTCCAAAGAATAACTCAAGAATCTTTTGGAGACTATCCTCAACCACAACTAGAATTTGCACAATATAAGGTAGTATGTTGCCATAAACATTACCTGCAACTTGTTGGCATTTTTTAAAGAGAAAAAAACCTTTTTAATGTGGAAAAAAACAAATTTAAATGTTTCATTTTCATCGATCACCTTAATTTTGTATAATAAATATAAGTTAAATAGATCTCTTTTATTATAAGTTTCTGTGTTCATAAAGGAAACCTTTTGAAATTCTGTATTTGCCTATTCTCTTACATATTAATTCGGGTATGTATAACTGGCTCTGATCTCTATTGGGGGGACGAGGTTACACCTTCTAGCCCATCCACACCTAGAATAGTACTTGGCACATTGGTGCTCATAAATACTTGTTAAAAAAAAAAGAAAGTGAATAAACAACTCATTATATAGCCTTGCTGGCATTACATAGTGATACTGCAAATGTAGCTTATTCCAGAAGTGTGTTGCTACCTACCACAAGGGTTGGAGAGAGGATATAGGTGTTTAATGCAAGCCCATTGCCACCATTAGGAAAACTTAAAGGTTTCTATCATGATCACCCTATTCTGAGTCTGTGTTCATATTCATATCACCTTCTATGCTCCAAAAAAATTATTTCTATTTGGCATTCTTGCAGCTGCAAGACACACTACTGATTTTGCACATTAAAGCTGGATGTCCTTAATCCTGCTGAGTGCTCGCATTTTTTGCAGTTAGCAAAGTAAATGATCTCTCTCTCCATTAATTACTGTATTTCTTGATGACAATAATTAAATATATAATCTGATTTCATACTTTTACCATTCTAACTGATAATTGTCATGTATAAATATATTTATTGATAGCTTGAAACGAAGTTCAAAAGTGACTTAAATGGGGGCATCTTGGCTGAGAGGAAAGAACCCCTCCGGTGCCTAATAAAATTCTCTAGCCCACATCTTTTGGAAGCATTGAAATCCTTAGCACCAGCTGGTGAGTGATCGATTTATTTTTATTTTACAGATTAGACCAATTAACAACAGACCTGCCTTTGATTTTTCTCTTATTGAATAATATTAATGGGGGAGAAATCATAATCCACCTTCTAATCTTGACCATTTTTAAAGTGACTTACATCTTTGCTCCTGTGATTATTATAACCTTTTTCTTTTTTATTTGTATTTCAGGTATTGCAGATGCACCACTTTCTCCACTGCTCACTTGCATACCAAACAAGGGGATGAATTATTTTAAAATCAGAGACAAATAAGCTGTATAAAGTTTTGTAAACCCAGGGGCTCCTTGGTGATGGTGTACAAGCATTCCAGTTAATGGCTAGATGGACAGCCTCTGGCAGTAATCTTTACTTTAGAAATTAATCCTTAGTATTGACAATGTAGAAGTGTTCCTATAATTTTGGGACTGATTCTTTCCTTCTTGTGCCTCCTCTCCCACTTTTCCTGCTAAATATAGCAGTTGTGGGCATTTGAGAGGTCACAGGATATGTATTGGGCTCTGGATTGACCTTAGTAGCACAGAATGCTCTGAAGCCAAGCATATGGCACTGTGGTTGATCCTGTTGGCCTCATATATAGTGCCCTTTTCCCCACTCCTGCCTCTATTCAATCCTAGGGAGGACTAGTTCCAATTGTTCCTTTCTAGGGATCTTCTGTTAAGCCTTGATCACTTAAAAGGAACTATACCCAACTCAGAACTTCTAGAAGAATCATAAAATTAGTCCATTCAGAGAATAGAATTGGGTCCACTAAGTTGTTACTGGAGGAAGTTACATATCCAATGACTCATTTTTATAAAATAATTGTTTGATTGTAAATATGATACTTTCCATAATGCATTTTATCATACATGTAACATCCAAACTGACCATTATAATACTTATTTGTAAATAAAGATACTGAAAAACTGGTATATCACTTTTGATGAAAATCCTTCATGACATCACTAAATAACATACTTTTTTTTTTTTTTTTTTTTTTAATAGTGCTGGGGATTGAACCTGGGGCCTTGTACATGTGAGGCAAGCACTGTACCAACTGAGCTATATCCCTAGCCCCAAATAACATGCTTCGGTAATAGCATTTTAAAATCTAAATCTATTCCCTATCTTGTTCCAGAGAAGATTAATGTTACACAAACATTCTACAATTATAAAATTAAAAGGTGAGGAAATCTGGGCAGATAAGCATACAAGAAAGGAGAACAAAATATGAGTAAGCTAAGACTACTTCATAAGAATGTATAAGTGACTCTCCAGTTGCAGGAAGGGTGAAAAGTTACCATGGAGTATGCCAGTAGCCAAAGGAGGAAAGAAAACACCAGTCTGTTAGTAAAGAGGCTTAAAAACTGGACCATCTGTTACTTTTGATAAAAGTAAAAAAAGGTTTAATATACAGAATATAAAAACAAAGTCAGAACTAAAGGAGATTAAATAATACTTTATAATGTCATTTTATTTAGGACATCTTAAATGGGAGAACGTAGCTTTTAGATGTAATTTAGAATTGTCAGATACTTCAGTCATCCCCAAGTGAGGCACCAAGTCTGTTGGGGCTTAATGATTCTAGTTTCCCTTTGGCCATAGTCATGGTTTAGGGCATCTTTCCCTGTATGTGCATGCTAAGTAGGTATTCTGCCCAGTGCTTGAATGCCTGTGTTAGATCAGCAGAAGCCTAGATTCCTGGGTGATTTTCCCATGGGCTCACAGCTCTCCCTGGTGCATGGTTGGAATATGTATCTACAGTCTGAACAAGAAAGACACTAGTCATATTATATACGTACCGTGGAATCTCTTGAGACTGCTTCCTCTGACCTTCTCAGACAACCTCCTGCTTACGAAAGTGACAGTACTAAGGGCTTACCCAACTCATCAAGTTATGCACTTGATGGTCACCCTTCAAATGTTGCTTGGACATAGATGCAGCAGTAAGTGCAGGGTCAATGACCTCCACAGTCAATTGAAAGTTTTCCAAAAATGAATAAATAACTAATGCTCATTGAACACTTAGTAAGTATCAAGCACTGTGCTAAATGTCCCATTGACTTATTTTCATAATCTCATAAAGCAGACAGCATTACTAATTTTGTTTTACTGAAGCAAAAGCCAGCAGTCATAATCAGCCAGGATTCTAGACACTATGAGGCTAAATCATTCCCCCCCCCCCCAAAGCATCCACATCATAATCCCTGGAATCCATATGTTATCCTAGGAGCCAAAGGGACTTTGCAATTGGAAAAAATTGCAAATTGGGCCCTGGATGGGCCCAATGTGACCATAAGGGTCCCCAAGAGTAAGTAGAATGTAGTGCAGCAATAGCTGCTTGCCTAGCATGCACAAGACCCTAGGTTCAACACCCAGCACCACAAAAAATGTGGGAAGAAAAGGTGGAAAAAAGAATGAAAGTCACAAGAAGAAACAACTACTGAAGAAGTCAGTGGGATGTGATGGGACAGATTCAACTCACTGATTTTGGTGGGAGAGGAAAGGGCCATATGCCAAGGGATGCAGACTACCTCTAGAGGCTGGAAAAGGTAAGTAACCAGTCTCCCCCAGAGCCTCCAAAAGGAGCCAGCCCTGCTGACACCTTGCTCTTGGCCAATAACACCCATTTCAGACTTCTATAGAGCTGTAAGATGTTACATTTGTTAAGATACCAATTTTGTGGTCCTTTGTGATTAGCAGTAGAAAACTTACAGATGCTAATATCTAAAAATTGGAAGTTCTTTCACACATACAACTAGCAATACCAGAGATGAATAGCAGCCACCACCCCTTTTAAAGATGTATTTCCAATTTACTGCAATCCTCACCCCTCCCTCTTGTTTACTACCACCACATATTCCCATTTACAGGATTCCTGGTCTTTCTAGGTAGGTCTCCATGAACTACACTGTCTCCCGAAGAGAAATATTATTTCAGCAAGTAAAATACAGTCAAGTAAATATGAATGCCTTAAAAGAATCGACCCTGACAACTGCAATGATCATTTCATCCCTAGTGTGACCTTGGGCCCTTGGTACTTGATTTTTTTTTTTCTTTTTGGTCCTTTATTTTATTTGATTTGATTTTTTAACTTTGATACAAGGTCTTGATAAGTTGCTGAAGCTCTCACTAATTGCTCAGGCTAGGCTCAAATTTGGAATCCTCTTGCCTCAGCCTCCTGAGTCTCTGGAATTACAGGTGTATGCCATGACACCCGGCAAGTTACTTAATTTCCCTAAGCCTAAATTTCCTTTTTGCACAATGGAGACACACCTGTTTCTGTGGTTTTGAGGACACAAATGAGATACTAAGTGGAAAGTGCAACCTTCAGAGCCTGGTTCGTGGTATGCTTCAATGAAGCACAGTAGAAATTAGGGTTACTGCCCCTCGTGCAGTTGACCTTTGGGGTTCTTGGTGATCTTTAGGAATCAGAGCTCCTGAACGCGTTGCTCTTTCTCTCCACCTGCTGCCGGAGGTCGAGTTCCTAGGGAAAGCTAAGAACCAACCATCAACCGGACCAAATACTCTCTACCTGCTGGCTTCAACCTTCCCCTCCACATCCTCCCTTGTTTGTGCTCCCGCGGGCACGCGGTTTCCGCCACCGATAGGTGGCGCCGCGGCCGCGGTGCCGGCCGGATTCTAATGTGTCGGGGGGAGGGTTTAGGGTTGCTGGCTGGCTGGGGTGGGGCCGGGGCCTGCGAGCTGGTCGGGCGCCGTGCGGGAGCCATGGCGGCCTCGGAGGCGGCGGCGGCGGCGGGGCCCGCGGCTCTGGCGGCGGGCGCTCCTCCCGTCCCGGAGGCCGCGCGGGGAGCCGCCGCCGCCGCCTCGGGCCCGTGGGGGCCCCTGGGGTCCCGGCTGAGGGGCAGCCGGCCGCGGCCCGCAGCGGCGCGGCAGCAGCCCGCGGCCCCGGCGCCGCCCGCGCGCGAGCTGATCCAGCCGTCGGTGAGCGAGTTGTCGCGGGCGGTGCGGACCAACATCCTGTGCACCGTGCGCGGCTGCGGCAAGATCCTGCCCAACAGCCCGGCGCTCAACATGCACCTGGTCAAGAGCCACCGCCTCCAGGTGAGCGCCGCGCGGCGGCCTGACAAAGCGACCTGGGGCGCTGGGGTGGCCGCGCGGGGGCGGCGGCTCCCGGCTCCAGCCCCGGCGTTGCCTCGCGTGGCTTCGCCCTGCCGCGCCTGGCGAGGGCGCCTTGTCCGGGTTCTGTGGATGAGAAACAGGTGCTGCCCGCTTGCTTTCCGCCTGCCAGCGATGCCGAGTGGGTCCTGCCCAGTTGTTAGAAAGCAGCTGCTGCAGGTTTGGCCCTAAGTGCCGTCACTTGCAAGTTTCTGCTTAGGAATGGGACCCCAGGGCTTCCCGTAGATTTCCGTTAGGAGGGCAACAGTGTAACGTGACAGGTCTGAGAAACCCACATTATGTAAAAGGGGGCGTGATTTTCAACCTTTGATGCACTCTATGGGAAGGCTATTAAAAATCCAGATGTCTAGCCCCACCCCAACCTATTAAGTCATAATTTCTGTCATTACTGTCATGCCAGCAGTGACATAATAGGAAAACGTAAGTCACTGTAAAGCAAGTTTGTGTATATGTAGCTTTCCAGCGGCTGAGTTGACTCGATTACCCAAGTGTTGCATGTTCTGAGCTTCAGGTAAATCCTCATAGGAAACCATCTTCGAACCCGACTTCTGATAAGATCAACAGGAATTCTGAGGTTGTAATCCGTAGTGGAAAAGATAAACGTGTTGTCTGGGAAAGGTGATCTCTTTTACACCAACAGAACCAAAGATATAACAGCGTTCTCTTGTGAAAATCTGTCAGGCAATGAGCACGGGGTATGCTGAGGAAGACCTGCAGGCAGGCTGTGGTGTTATACAGAAGAGTTGGGTTTCCCAGAATGATCTTCAATGTACTGTTTTCTCTTTCATACTAAATTTTACCTAAATCTGTCGTTCGTCGGGGATTCTCCAGCCTGATACCTAGGTTCTTGACCCACCTTCAGTGTTGTCCCCTGGCTGGTAGACATAAGTATGTCTCTGAGCATAAAGCGAAGCTGCCAATTTGTCCATGAACCTCTCTTGTGTTAACGAAATTACTCTAACCAGCATTTCTTAGCAATTTATATTTTTCTTTTCTCTGGATTTGCTGTTGGGAACTCTAACTTTCAAGATGTTGTTAAGCCTCTGTTTAACATAAATATACCACTTAGCCTTCAGGACTAGTTTGACAGTATGAGTAGGTTTATTTCTGATTATGTTTTTAAAATAATGTAAAGGTCAGAAATCCACAAGAGACCAGTACATAACATAAAATAGGCCTGAGAAAAAGTATGTTTGAACCAATACAGGTTTTGATAGTTAAACCTTCACATGGACTTAAGTATTTCAGAATACTAGTATCCTCCTTTGCTAGAAATTAGGTGAAGTCATTTGGTTTTCGTCATTCACTTTTCAGTTTTCTTTTATCTGAAGACAGCACAATATACTCAGGATCTCTTTCTGAACTTAAATGTAGAGCAGTGAAAGATGAACATTTCAAAGATTCCTTCAAAGTCACTGGATCAACCTTTTTAAGCAAGAATTAAACTCTGTTTCAGAACCATCATAATTTTTGTTTTTATTTTTTTCTTTTCAAACAGCTCACTTTGCTATATTCTTCTGCTGATTATTTGTTATAGTACTGGAGATTGAACCCAGGGCCTCATACATGCTAGGCAAGCACCAAGCTACATCCCCAGCACTTTTTATTTTGAGTCAGGGTCTCCCTCCAACTTGAGCTCCTGCTGCGCCTCCCAAGTGGCTGAGATTACAGGTGTGTGCTGCTCATTATCTTTCTAACCAGAGTGCCAGTAGCCCCTGGACATCCACTGTCTTGGTGGAAAGGAGTCCGTTTTCTTTAATGAAAGTAGCCAATGTGACAAAATAGACATGTCTGTATTGTCGTGCCCCAGGGGGGCAAATCTATACCCTTAGCCTGATGACTGCCTGGAGAACTCTTCACACTTTATTCTTGATACTTGATGTTATCAAAGTGTTTGGGAGGAGAGAGAGGCAAGAGAGAAGCCTGGGGACTTGGGCTGGCCAGGAAGTTCTCTGTGGCTTTGGGGGTGTCCTCAATCAGGTACATGCAATCCCTTTCTGGTCTAAAGCTATTTCTAAGTATGTCTGATTGATCCACTTTCTTATATTCAGTGGAAATTTTCATTGTTTTGGTTACACTACTTGCATCATTCTGATTTCTTTCCTCTGTTTTTATTTCCCAGGTTATGATAATCTTTTGTTCCTACCCCATTCATTGTTGTATGGTTCTTATTTTAATATTCCTTTCACAATGTAAATGATTAACAAACCCTTCTGAAGGATGATGGGAAAGAATGGGAGAGTTGAATTGTAAGCTGGAAAGCATTTGCTGCTTTTTGGGTTTATGTGGGTTCTTAATCTCCATATTCTATGTCATTCCTTTAAGGAAATTTGAAGTATCCTAATCCAACCTTGCCTGCAGTGGGATCCATAGAGAAATGGGAGCTATGATGATTTGGGATGGAAGCTAAAGTGATCCAGAAAAAGGAAGAGTGGGAGTAAATAGGCCTTTCTTGACTGCTAGAGATTCTTTGTTCCTTGCGTTTAAGAACCTATTGTGGAGCAACATTATATTTTTAAAACATGGCCCAGAGGATATTATATTATGTTCAGTCTAGTGGTTTGCTTTTAATGTGCCAACTTGCTTTGTAGACAACATTTTGCAAAGACTACAGATTTTCACTTTAGAGTAAGATGACAAAGCAAACTAGCTTCCTTCTTGGTTGCTTTCTGTAAAGGTGATCTGGTGCTGGACAGCATTTGCTACCGTCCTTACAGACCTTTCCCTTTATCCTCTACAACTATGTCCCTCCTTTTCCCTTTTCTTTTGTATGTATATTTTTCCATATTTTTAAAAACAATTGGTGATTGTTTTTAACATTTTTTTAGTTGTTAGTAAACCTTTATTTTACTTCCATATTGTTTTTGGATTGTTTCCTCTTGTAGATAATTTTTCAAATTCTGTCACTTAAAATATTTCTACGTGAAGTTTTTTTGTAGACTTTTTTTCGGTCATGCACATAAAAGATGCAGTACCATATCTGGTAAGTTTTATATAGATAAACACCGCTTTCTCACTGTGGTTCTTGTTTTGTTATGCTGTTTCCATTTCTCATCTCCCCAGCCTACCAAGATCTTACTGTTTCAGGACCAGAATGGGAAGAAGGTTCAAAAACCGAGTGGACTACTGTGATGGGGGAGCTGAGGAGTTGGCCCCCATAAAGCTCAGGAGCATATACAGTGTTAGGTGATTACTGTGGCCTGTAAAATGGCAGGAAGAGTGGGAGTAAATAGGCCTTTCTTGACTGCTAGAGATTCTTTGTACCTTGGGTTTAAGAACATATTATGGAGCAACATTATATTTTTATATAAATAGAATAAAAATATAATGTTGGGGTTATTGATATCCAATATGACTGTCTTTAGTGGCCTCATTGCCACAAGATATAGTTCTGGCTTAGGGGGCCACTTGAATATGTGTAGTACAGTGCCACAAGTTTATATTGGACATTTACTTTGTTCAGAATATTCCTAAATGCAACAGAAGACACAAGTAAATCCCTGCTCATGAAAAGGTTTATGAAATTATAATTACAGCTCAAGCATCCAAAATCTGAAATGCCTTGAAATCTGGTAAATTTTTGAGTACCAAAATAATGCTCAAAAATTTTATATTTTAGAACATTTTGGATTTTCAGATTAAGTATGCTCAATAGCTGGAGTGTATACAAATATTTAAAAATCTGAAACACTTTGATTCCAAAGCAATAAAAGAGTAATCAGAGAAGATAAAGGGACCTAGAAAGTGTGTAGTTAGGGACTTTGTCTGGACTTGGGTCATACTCTTAGGCTGTTAGAAATGTTTGGGTGAAGTAATGACATGATTAAAGCTGTATTTTGAGAGAGATGAATCTGGCAAAGTCTGAATGATAAAGACATATTTAGAGGTTAACAACACAGTCCAGAGTCAGAAGACTTCAACCAGGAATAGAGAGAAAGGAACATCTGGGAGGTGGAAATGGTGCTTGAAGAGGGTGAGTTTGTGGTGTGGACACAGGAGGGAGTTTGAAAGAAAAGGGTTGCTTTGCGCCTCTGAGGATGTATCAGGAGTTTTGAAGTGAGCCAGTCAGCAGTTTATGGAGCATGTGACAGCCTAGAAGCTGGAATATAAATGGTAAAAGATTTCCATAAAAACAAAACACTAGATGAATTGGTGAGTGAAATGAAGTTGGGGATGAGGGACAATGTCAGTTGTTATTAGAGCCAGCAGATTTGGTGTTCAGGAAAAGCATGGGCAGTTAGACTTGACCAATTGAATAGCTAAAGTACCACTTTAGTTTATTGGTGTTGAGTTGGTTGGCATAATAAAGCAAAGAAGGAAAGGAAAGCCTCTGCCGCCAGTGGCCAGAGCCAACATTAATTGCTTTATTGTGCGGTGAACACTGTTCTAAGCCTTTCCGTGTGTTAGCTCAGTCCCCACAGCGACCCCCAAATGCACAGTGTTGTTACTCCCACTTTGTAGATAAGTAGACCAGCCAGTTTAATTTGCTCTAGTCACATAAAGTGGCCAGGTAGAGAGTTGAAATTACAGCAGGCCAGCTCCAGAACTTCCAGACGTACAGCTACATTGTAGTTCTTATCCCAGACTGCACACTGGGGTCATCTGGCAAGGTTATAAAACCAAATATGGGTTCCAATCCAGTTCCAAGACCAGAAAACCTGGGGCTGAGTCCAGGCACTGGTGGTTCTCAGGGCAGGGACCAGCCCCGCACCCACCCCCACCTCCAGTGCACTCATGCAGCAGGTGGCCTGCTGTCTTCTATAAGGAGGAAGATGGCTCCAAGAGGTGTGTTAAATTTCTGTCTTTAAAAGGCTTAGTCTGGTGGGCTGGGGATGTGGCTCAAGCGGTAGCGCGCTCGCCTGGAACGCGTGCGGCCCGGGTTCGATCCTCAGCACCACATACAAACAAAGATGTTGTGTCCGCCAAAAACTAAAAAAAAAAAAAATTAATTAAAAAAAAAAAAGGCTTAGTCTGGGAAACAGGAACTATATTAAAAATGACAGCTCTTAAGGTAGCATAGGTGCTCTCTTGGAATTCTGAGAAAGATCTTCAGGGTGGTGACAGAACAAGAAACTGGACAGTCTAGAACACTGAGCTGGGCTGGGCCCATGCTAATCCAGACACCTAAGCTACAGGTAATCCTGAGAAGCAGGTCCGCTCTGTTTTAGAAATGAGTAAACACTGGCTCAGAGGTTAACTACCTTCCCAAGATCACACTAGTCAGTAATGGAAACAGTACAAACCAAGCCCTCTCCAATGCCACGTGTGCACTTCTGCCTGATTTCTATCTGAAGGTAGAAGAAGGGTATGGGGCTCAAATTGAACCTTCAAAGAATGAGACTCATCCAAGAATGGATATAGTGGGTCCAACTAGAGGTGGGCAAAGCATTAGGCTGAGTGGGACAGTGTTTGAGAAAGGGAACAGGAAGGGCATCAGCAAGTTCAAAAAGGCCAGCCTCAGCAACTTGGCAAGACCCTCTCCCAAAAAAGAAAAAGGGATGGGAATGTAGCTTGGTGGTAAAGCACCACTGGATTCAATCCCAGTGCCACCAAAAAAAAAAAAAAAGGATTAAGTGAGGGGCTGGGGCTGTAGCTCAGTGGCAGAGCGCTTGCCTAGCATGCATGAGGCACTGGGTTCGATCCTCAGCACCACATAAAAATAAACAAATAAAATAAAGGCATGCTGTCCATCTATAACTATACAAAATTAAAGGAAAAAAAAGGATTAAGTGAGTTGGTATGTAGACAGTGCTTAAAACTGAGCCTGAATCAACAGTTGTGTAAAGGTGTCAACTAGCTTTTTGGTACTTTAGGGGGCAGTGCAATGATCAGAGAAAAGACAAAATGCCATTGAATAGGGGGTCCCCAGGCCCTAGTCAAAGGAAGTTTTTTTCAGGGACTTAAGACAAGGAATCTTAGGGTAGAATAATAAAGAAGACCAAAGGTGACACCCCAATCTTGACTATGAGTAACTGTGTGAGTCCATTTGCAAAAGAGAAGCTAGCTGCAAGAATATGGATTTTAAGTTTCGAAGAGTTTTAAAAGGGATAGAGAGAAGTTAGGTTTATGTTTTATTTTTTTAAGAAAACATAGTTGGGGAAAAATTTACAGATTTATTGAGAATAATAATTTACATGCCATAAAATATATTTAATTTAAATGAATAACTCAATTATTTTAGTAGATTTATGGATGTGTAAACCCATCACCACAATCCAATTTTAAAACATTTCCGCTCCCTAAAAAGAATGCTTGTGCCCATTTTCATATATTCCCTTATTTCTACAACCAGCCTGTTCTGTTGTGGGTTTTTTGAAAATAATTTTTTAATTTTCCTTTTGCAGGATGGCATAGTAAATCCAACAATAAGAAAAGATTTGAAAACCATACCAAAATTCTACTGTTGTCCAATTGAAGGATGCCCTAGAGGTCCTGACAGACCATTTTCTCAGTTTTCTCTCGTAAAACAGGTATTTCACTTAATATATTTCTCTGAGGATGATATACAGATGGTATAAACCTGGTATGCATTCTAATTACTTAGCAAACACTACCAGAGAATTGAGAATAAGCTCTTGCTAGAGCTGCTGCCCCTGTACCTCCCAAGTGGTAGGTACAAGGGTTGTGTGGGTGTAATTCCAGTGGACAGAAACGAGGCTTATCTTGGAAGGAACATTACCAGGAGTGGGTTGGAGAGGAAGAGAAGTACACCTCTCCATCAAAGAGCAAGAATATTTGTGCTCATAGTTCGCTTGGGTGAATCTGCTTCCAAGGGCTTAGGGCAAAGACACAAAGCCACTGTCCTCCCAGGGGAGTGAGAACCTGCAGAATCCAGGAAAAAAACAATTTCAGGAGCAGCTATCTTAAGAGGAGGGAGGGGCCCAGCCACTAGGGAAAGAGGAATTTGGGCCTGGAAGAAGGCTCTGGAATGTTTCCTCAGGAACTGCTGCAGGGTGTCCAGAGGAGAGCATCTCAAAGACTTTTGTTTTCCCTGCCCTGCAGCACTTCTTTGTAGGTCAGTCTCAAGGCCAGTACCCTGGGATCCATTCCAAAGTAGTCTCCTCTGTGCATGAAGCTAAAGCCCAAAGAAGAGTCTGGTGATAAACTGCAGTTACCCTGTTCTTTTCTTGAGGGTGGACTGTTCTGTTTGTACCTGTGAAGTCACTGTTAAGCTGGGTGTGTTGATGTTCTCAGCACTTGGTGCCGTGGCTGTTTCTCACCCTCCTTCCTTCTTTGCTCTCTGTAGCACTTTATGAAAATGCATGCCGAGAAGAAGCATAAATGCAGCAAGTGCAGCAATTCCTATGGTACCGAGTGGGACTTGAAAAGGCACGCGGAGGACTGTGGCAAGACCTTCCAGTGCACATGCGGCTGTCCCTATGCCAGCAGAACGGCATTACAGTCTCACATCTACCGAACTGGTCACGAGATCCCTGCAGAACACAGGTAAAGAGCAAAGAAACAGTGGCACATAAGTCAGTAGCTGTGGGAGGAGTTTCATCTGAAACTTCCTGGACAAGGAGAGGAAAAGGAATGATGGACAAGCAATGTGACATCAAAGAAGGGAGCTTTTGGAAATGGCAGCAGTGCTGGCAAAGGATTGTATCTAGGTGTGGAATCTGACCCACTTATTCCTCCTTTTTCTATTGCCAACTCTCTGAGGGTCTCTTACTATGCCCATTTGAAATCTCAATTTCCACCATCTTCTGGTAAGGAATATCAGATTGCTGAAGAGTAAGTTTTATCATGACTCTGTACTACCATATATTTTTCTTTATCTGTAGATGGACACAATGACTTTATTTTTATGTGGTATTGAGGGTCAAACACAGTGCCTCATGCGTGCTAGGTGAGCACTCTACCACTGAGCCACAACACCAACCCTGTACTTCTTTTTGAGGGGAGGGAAAACTAGGTCTTTAGAAATTTTTTAGTGGAACATCTTGCAAGTCAGTGATGCATGCCTGTAATCCCAGCAACTTGGGAGGCTGAAGCAGGAGAATCTCAAGTTCACAGCCTGCCTCAACAACTCAGCAAGTCTCAAAATAAAAATTAAAAAGGGCTGGGGAGGTAACTCAGTGGTAAAGTGCCCCTGGTTTCAATCCCTAGTACTCAAAAAAAAAGTAAATTTCTATTTGTTATAATAGCTTCCAACTTTACGGATGATGAAACTTGTGTTATGTATACCTCTTTTGGCTTCCTTATGGTTAAATTCTAGTACTTACAGCATTAAAAAAATATATATATGCTTTCTTCTTCCCTATCTGCATGTTTCTGAACATCTGCCCCATAATAAGCCCCATTCCCAGAAGTTCAAGAAGGGAATAGTCTTCTTTGGGTGGGGTCTGACCTCTGATAAGGGCAGTAGCATGTATTATTAAGACATAGTGTCATGGTCTAAGAAAGCTGCATTTTTCCCCCCAGTATTGAGGCTTGAATCCAGAGCCTTTCACGTGCTAGACTAGGCTGGCCTCAAATTTGCAATAATCTCACCTAAGCCTCCCAAGTAGCTGGGATTACCTCACCCAGCTCAGAAAGCAGCATTTTAAAATTGTTTTCTTTTTGCTTTGTCATTGTCTTTAGGGATCCACCTAGTAAAAAAAGGAAAATGGAAAACTATCTACAAAACCAGAAGTTATCTAATAAGACCATGGAACCATTGAGCACTCAACCCCCTCCTCGACCAGATCCTCAAGAACTAGAAACTTCAGAAATAAAATTAGTAAATTCTTTTGAAGATTCTTGCAGCTCTAATGCCAGAAAACAGAGTGTCACAACACCTCCGAGATATCCTCAGAAGTTGCTTCTACCAAAGCCCAAAGTGGCTTTGGTTAAACTTCCGGTCATGCAGTTCTCTCCTGTGCCTGTCTTCGTGCCTACGGCCGACTCTTCGGCCCAGCCTGTGGTGTTAGGTATGGATCAGGGCTCCACTGCAGGTGCTGTGCACTTAGTGCCCTTGTCAGTAGGAACCCTGATCCTTGGCCTAGAGTCAGAGGCTTGTTCTCTTAAGGAGAGCCTACCTCTTTCAAAAATTATAAATCCTGTTGTTGAGCCAGTTAGTACCGGTGTTCAAGTGAACTTGGGTAAAAATCTGTCTAATCCTTTACAAGAACTAGGGAACACGTGTCAGAAGAACAGCATTTCTTCAATCAATGTACAGACGGATCTGTCCTATGCCTCACAAAACTTCCTACCTTCTGCACAGTGGGTTGGCCCTGATTCCTCTGTATCGTCTTGTTCTCAGACTGATCTGTCATTTGATTCTCAAGTGTCCCTTCCCATTAGTGTTCACACCCAGACGCTTCTGCCCAGCTCTAAGGTAACTTCATCTATTGCCGCTCAGACTGATGCATTTATGGACACTTGTTATCAGCCAGGTGGGATCTCCAGAGAAACCCAAACCAGTGGGATGCAAAGTCCCACACGTGGCCAGGTACAGATGGACCAAGCTGGAATGTGCAGAGACATTTTTGAGAGTGTCCATTCATCATACAGTGTCCCTGCAGACACTATTATAAGCAGCAGCTTAGTAGCAGAGACAGTAACTCGTGGTTTGTTACCTCAGAATGACCCTAAGACTTTAAATCAAGATATTGAGAAATCTGCACCCATTTTGAGCTTCAGTGCACAGAATAGTATGCTTCCTTCACAGAACATGACAGATAATCAGACCCAAACCATAGACTTATTAAGTGATTTAGAAAACATCTTGTCAAGTAATCTGCCCGATCAGACATTGGATAACCGTAGTCTTTTGTCTGACACAAACCCTGGGCCTGACACTCAGCTGCCATCTGGCTCAACCCAGAATCCTGGAATAGATTTTGATATTGAAGAGTTCTTCTCAGCTTCAAATATCCAGACTCAAACTGAAGAGAGTGAACTTAGCACCATGAACACTGAGCCAGTCTTGGAATCACTGGACATAGAGACCCAAACTGACTTCTTACTTGCAGACACATCTGTCCAGCCCTACGGGTATAGGGGAAGTTCTCACTTCCTAGGCCTTGAGATGTTTGACACGCAAACGCAGACAGACTTAAACTTCTTTTTGGACAGTAGCCCTCATCTGCCCCTTGGCAGCATCCTGAAACACTCCAGCTTTTCCATGAGCACTGATTCATCAGACACAGAGACCCAAACTGAAGGAATCTCCGCTGCTAAAAACCTATCTGCCCTAGAGAGCAAAGTTCAGTTGAACAGTACAGAAACACAGACCATGAGTTCAGGTTTTGAAACCTTGGGGAGCTTGTTCTTTACCAGCAATGAAACTCAGACAGCAATGGATGACTTTCTTCTAGCTGATTTGGCCTGGAACACGATGGAATCTCAGTTCAGCTCTGTGGAAACTCAGACATGTGCCGAGCTGCACGCAGTCTCCAACTTCTAAAGGTGAAGTTCAGGTTGGATGGTGTTTATTATTTCCTTCCAGATTTAGATAATGGGAGCAGGGACAACAGTATTAACTCTGTCGAATGTAGCTGATGATGCAGTTGCTTAGATTCTTTGCAGTTCTTTGCCTTTTGTACTTGTAAACACAAATTTGTGTATAAATGTGAGTGTACTATAAAGTGTAAGATGTTGATCTAAAAATGATTGTTCTTGTGTTGCATACATTTGCCCTTTTATAGCTAGTCTTTCCATCTTTAAAACTATATCTTGTTCCTATAAAACCAATACAGCCATTTAGCTGAAGCCAAGCTTGCAAGGTAGTAGAGTGCAAACTTACCAAATCTCCAAAATGTTTTAGCAAAGTGTAACATACTTAAATTGCACCTAAAATGTCTTCTAGAAAATGCTTCTGTTGTTGGAGACTCCTGTTGCTGCAGCTTCATCTGCTTTGCCATCTCTCTTCTGATTTGAAGACACCAAGGGAATTTACAGCTGTCTTCAGCTTTTGCAAGTTTCCATGTAGTCACTGCCATCCCTCCACTCATGAGCTATTACTGATGCTAACATGCGCGAACAGTCCTTTCCTCACAAGAGGTTTGTTGCTGTGAAATGATTACTGCCTAGAGAAAGGGCAGCAAGCACTTAGTGTAAATAGTGATTCTTCCAAGTACTACATCCAGACTATGGAGACACGGTTGTTAAATCATGCCTGTTAGTTCATCCTGGGGTGTGTGGTCCTGTGCTTTCATACCACCATCAATCCAGAAGCCTTCTGTGCCCAGATGTGTGGGAGTTTTCCCCATGTACCAGCAAGCAGCTCTGCAGCAGATGCCACTTGGGTGTCCTCTAATGCTCTTCAGTTCTGACACTATCTGGAGTCCAGGCCTCCAGAGTGTCTAACCCAGCACTTAAATTTTAGGGCTGCCACATTCTCTTCCCTGGGTTCAATTTATTCATGAGTGGCTGGCAGAACTCAGGGGAACATCATGTTTACTGGTTATTGCAAAGAATACAAATGAAGAAATGCTCAGGGTGAGGTATGTGGGAAGGAACTGGCTTCCATACCCTCACTAGGAGAGCCGTCTTCCAGGAATCCAAGTTTGACTATCTGGAAGCTCACTGAACCCAGTCCTTTTCGGCCTTTATTGAAACTTCAAGGGTATGATTGATGACATCACTGGCCATGATCAACTTAACTTTCAGCCTCTCTCCCCTCCCAGAAGGTAGAGGGTTAAGGCAGGGTAAGGCTGAAGATAATCCCACCCCTCTAATCATGTCTTTGCTGTGATGAGTCCTCATTGTAAAGCTACCTAGGGGCTGCTCATTAGCACACAAAAAAAATTGCTGGAAATAACAAGGATTTTAGGAGTTGTCTACTACCAGGGAGGAAGACCAAATATGAATATTACCACATCTATAAACACCCTTCCTGCACTCCACAGCAGACCAAAGTGGGGCACCAGAACTGCTTCCCACCGTGCACCTACAGGCTGCATCTGACTTGTCCTCAATGTTAAAGTAGGGAAAGAGGACACTACCCCTCAAACCCAGATTTCAAAACTTTATACTTCTGAGCTTGATAGGGCGAGAGTGCAATCTGCAATTATTTTAAAGTTACTTTTCCTTCCATCCACCACCCATCTTTTCCTTGAATAAAGAAACACAGGTCTAATAAATATATCATTTGTGTCTTGAGGCTAGCAATTACAGAATAAACTATCAAACTTGCTTCAGTAATCAAGAATATTTTCTACTTTGAGACAAGGACAGCATCAAGTATGCTTTGGGGGTTCTCTAGTTAGTAGATCCTGTTTTGTTTTGTTTGTTTGTTGATTTTTTTCTTGGAATTGGGGATTAAACCCAGGGGCATTTAACCACTGAGTGACATCCCCAGTCCTTTTTAGTTTTGCTTAGAGCCTCACTATGTTGCTGAGGTTGGCTTTTTTTTTTTGAACTTGAGATTTTCCTGCCTTAGCCTCCCAAGCTGCTGGGATTGCAGGTGTGTGCCACTGTGCCCAGCCTGAATTCTTAATTGTTGCCCAACTCTCAGGCAAGTGCAGCCTGTGTGTTTTCAAACTTTACCCAAAAATGCTCTGTTTTTTCTGTGGCACATGCTTGTGCTGCTGAAACCTAACTCCTCAAAATAGAACTTAAGAAGGAAACTAATGATTCATTAAAGTAAATTGATGGTGTTGGTAATAATGCTTATCCCATATGTCTGAAAGAGAATTGGTAATGGATTAATAACATATCCAAGCAGATGAACTAATACCTAGTAGATAACTTTGCTTTGGTCACAGTTGCCTATGAATATGAGTTTCAAAATGAACATAAAGCCTTAACTTAGATTTTCATTGTTTTAGAATCATCACTGCCTTAATGTTCAAACATCTATTTAAGTCGTCCTGATAAAGAAGAAATGCATGTTTGTTTATGGCTTTTTGTAAATACATATGCAGTGATCTATGGCTTTACTTCTGTTTGTGACGATGTTTGTTAATCCAGCCAATAGTTATTTACAAAAAGTGGAGCATGTGATTGTTCTTCATGTACAAGAACTGTTCCCCCGCAAAACCTTAGTTACCTGGATTGTCCTAAGATCATCTGTAAAAACTGAAATTCAATGATTAAAAGGAAGCTAGAATTCTTTTTGTGTGTGTTTTTTGACCTGCTCATGATACAACTTATTTTGTTGCTTTTTTTACAGACTCATTTCTAAAAGTGACATGATGAAGTAACTGTGCTGTTAGTTTCATTATTGTTTTACTTTTTTTGTTCATGAAAATAGACTAATAATTTTCCTTTTTAAATTTCAGGTGAATAATTTACCTAAAAATGGCAATCAATTACTACAATTCACACATTACCTGATGCTACCATTTTATAATGGTCTGCCTTTGTCTCTAGATAAGGTGGTTCTAGGCTTATGAGTAAAAACAAGAGGACTAGAATAATTATTTCTTTGCTCCATCACCAATTTACAGGAAAGCTGAACTATTGTGTATCTGACTGCTTTAGGTCACAGGAAAACAAAAATTTTGTAAACTTACCTGAAAGTCTAAAATTACTTTTTCATGTGAAGACACTGAACAGTATTAGTCTAGCTATGAAATAACTTTTATTAATTCTGCCAAATAATGGGATTGTTTTCATTTAATCCTTTCTGGCCTCAATTTTAGAGATAGTAATTCAGCTCAAAACTGCTCATCAAAACCTGCTAATACTGATGGAGAGAACGCTTACTATCTGGTACATTAAAGGGCCTTAAGTTAACTTTAGGGACGTAGGGATAGTACGTGCAGTTTCATTTTCCTTTTATCTCACAATGTGTATGTTTGTTGTCACCACAAGTATGCTGAAGTGTGCCATTAATTAGATCTGATGCTAGGAGAAGACAACATATACCCTTTCATACTCTCAACATCTAAATGACTCCAATTGTTAAGTGATGTGAGTTTTAATCGAGTTCCTTCAGGAAGATGCTGGCTGGTAAAATATTCATATGACCAAAGAAAATGACTTCACTTTTGTAATGGTTAAATCCAAGGGATTCTCTGTTGTTGGGATTGTATTTATTATTAACAGATACACAATATATTTGTTTACACACTAAGACAGGTTGAAAGAACACATGGAGAAGGTCCATAGGTTCTCCAAACATTAACTAAAATGGGCTACATTTAAAAACAAGCATTTTTGGAAGGAGGAGAAAGTCAAATTGTATATAAATAAAAACAATGTCTATATAACACTTGAACTAGATTACCAGTATTCATTCAAAACTTTAGACAACCTAGGGAAAATACTATAACTGCCTTACTAATAAATAACAAAAACATCTGTAACTTTGTTCTAAAAACACAAATTTCATAAGTTTGCCTATGAGGAACTTAATGCCACGGCCCCCTCCATAATTTTTGGTATTTTACTCTGAAGAAAGTTAATGTTACAGGATACTCGGCTGCAAAAATTAAAAAAAAAAAAAAAAAAGAACAACAAAATAATTAAAATACGTTGTATTTTTATCAGCAAAATAAAATATTTCTGAAATTGAAAAAAAATTAAATTAGTGACTTGTTATTATCAAATACAAGAGTTGGGCTGGAGTTGTGGCTCAGTGGTAGAGCATTTGCCTAGCATGTGTAAGGCCCTAGGTTTGATTCTCAGCACTGTATATAAATAATTAAAATAAAGGTCTATTGACAACTAAAAAAATATTAAGAGGAAAAAAATTTTAAAAGTACAAGTGTTACTCCTTACAGGGGTGAGCTTTGTAGCATAGCATGATATGTGTAATTGTCCTGAGTTTCACATTTTCTTATTTCTGCTTATAGCATTTTACTCTCTGCTTTTTGGTGATCCATTGCTTTTTCCATGTCCTGGGAGCAATATTTGGTTTTATGAGTGCGTCTCAAACATGTTGCTGCTTAGGAATGAATTTGAAATTGATCCCTCTACTACTTTATCTTCTTTTTTCTTGAGCTGCAATAAGAAATTTAGTGACTTCAGAAAATGCAGTGTCCACGCTAAAATAAAAATTTGGCAGAAGTCAGTGCATCTGAATTAACCTCTCACAAAAGGATATTTAACCATTAAAACTCTCCTCCATAACTTAAAAAGCCTCCCAAGATCAAGAAACTTGAAAAGCCATCTAAACTCTTGGCAACCTGCTTTAAAAATTATACCATCTTAGGTCATATCATGGAAATAATTTGTCTTATCTATATTTGAGAGTACTGTTAATGAATTGCAAGATACTGTTGATCCTTTTTTCTTTTGTACCTTTTTTTAGTAAGATGTGATGTATTTAAAAACCATTTAAATCACTCTTCTGTAACAAGGTATGTGCAAGAAATGTGCAAGAAACAGTTTGCTAAATAGCTACCACAATGATAAGTATCTTTCTGATTTCCTATTTTCCTGAAATTTAAAGAAATCAGTCCTGAGGATTTGAAGAAATAGACAAAGAAATTAAGACAGATTCGTGAACCAAGTTCTATGTTAGATTCTAGTTCTTGTCAGAGCACATGTAGATTAAAACAAGTGAGATTACAAAAAGTTCTGCTTTCAAAGTCATAGGACAGTCACAACCTTCCTGCACTGCTAACGTGACACCAAGAGTTTTAAAAAGTGGAAAAACTGTTCCATTTAAGAGACTCAGGGGAGAAAGGTGGCTTTCATGTATTCTTATGAAGCATATACTTGCCAGTGGTTACCGAGGTGTATCACATGCTTCTTAATATTTACACCTGTTCAGCACAAGCAGTCACCATGGAAAAGAATCTGTTGCTTAAACATTAAAGGATTCTGAATAATAGCATTAAACTAAATATATTAATAGAATTATCTTGAAAACCTTGCCAAAACAATCGTGCACATCATCCTGAAGGAGGGAGGCAGGGAGGCCCACAGCCGCTCCTGAAGTGGGCTCTACTCTTTCTTGAGAGACTGTTCTGAGAGAAAAGCAGACATGTGGTTGCTTCTATCTAAAGACCTGGACAAGACCATCAGAAAGGACCAGAACACAAGAGAGGGCACCTGTGCCTTTGGGGATGAGATGAGCGCGGTGTTGCCCAGCGTCCCTTCCCATTTTGATCAAGGCTTCTGCTTGCTCTGTGAGTAAGGTCATCAGAGAAGCTGCAGAAAACAGTGTGTTCTAGAATTGCTGATTCCCTAAAGCAGTGGTTCTCTGCTAGGTGACTTGCCCTCAAGAGGCATTTGGTACTCTGGACATATTTCTGGTTGTCACGGCTGGGGTGCTACTGGCACCTAGTGGGTCAAGGCTGGGGACGCTGTTCCACATCTCTCAATGCACAGGACAGCCAACACAAAGAATGAACCAGCCCAAAATGATAATAGGGCCTAGGTTGAAAAGCCCTGCTCTTAAAGATGGCCAGTTGCTGGGGTGGGTGGAACTTGAAGCGTTCTATAAATGCAATTCAGTCCTCTAAGTTATGGTGCTCTTTAGAAAGTATGTGTTAATAGAGAAGGTTGAGATCAGTAGTATGTTTAAAAACCTCCTCAGGGATTTCACTATTTACAAATATTAAAATTCACTTAGTATTGTTTTTGTTTTTTCTCTCACAGGAAAGGCCAGGATTCACAACAAATCTGGGACAGAAAGAATTGTTCACCATTTTGAGTCTTTAATAAGGTTTGTGGGCAAGTCAACTGCACTAAAATGACCGAAAGAACCTCAGGTATTAATCCCCTCAAAGGGGCAAAAGCAGCAATGACCATTGACAGAGCCGGGGTGTAAAAAAAAAAACCAAGCCTCCTAATAGTTCCCAGCTTTGGGCAGTTTAGCTTGTAATGAAGAGCTCAGCCTCTGGGTCTGCTCCTGGCTCATGGGTTGCCTGGCAGACAGGAGAGTGTTCAAGCATGGAACAAAGGATGGTCCTTGGCTACTATGGGTCAAAAAGCCCCATTTCTTCCTTCCCTGGCTTGCTTTCAGTAACCCTGAAGCTACAACCGCAAGGCGGCACTGAACATGAGCCCCAGATGTGCAGCCTGAAGTTGTGCTTGCTTGGCCAGTGGGGCCAAAGTGAGATGACCTGGGCTCTGTGGTCTCTCTGGGCCCTGAAACTTCTGAACTTGGAGGAAGAGATTGAAAGCAAATTTGATTCTGGGTTCAAATCATTGTATAGCATGGTCTTTGAAGTAATGATTTGAATAAGATATGATTTAAAAGTAGTGAAGGTCTTCTAAAGTAGTCAAAGGCTTGTCCAAATATAGCCAGGCCTTATTCTCATTTATAGTCTTCCCATTGTCTTTCAAGAGTGGCACCTCAAACCAGGTGTGGTGGCCCACTCCTGTAATCCTAGAAACTTGTGAAGCTGAAGCAGGAAGATCGCAGTTCAACTCCAGCCTTTGTAACTTAGTGAAACTGTCTCAAAAAATAAAAAGGACTGGGGCTGTGGCTCCATATTAGGGACTGCTCCTGAGTTCAATCCCCAGCACACCCCCCCCCAAAAAAATAGTGATGCTCCACTGGGGCTGAAGCATAGGTAGCTCAGGGGTAGAACACTTGCCTAGCACTATGTGAGGTGCTGGGTTCCATCCCCAGAACTGCCAAAAAAAAGTCAACCTTGCCTCACCAGATCTCAGCAGCCACAGCAGGCCTCAACCCCCAGCTAGCCCATGAGTGACCTCAGGCTCTGTGGGAATCCTGTATGTGATGCTGCCAAAATTTCACTTGATGAGTTTGAAAGTTTCAAGAAATTTTTACTAATAACTAAAATTAACAGAACAAGGAATGACACACAAGCTCTGTTCTTGGTTTGGAGAGGACTAGAGGAACCAAACCTGAGAATGTCCCCTCAAGAGAGGCCACTGGCACCTGCATTATAACATTCTTCAGTTCTTAAAACACGGAGTGTCCCCTAGAAATTTGGTCAGCGATGCAGATCCCAATGGGAAGGTGTGTTCTATTCAACATTTTGCCTTTATCTAGCTAGACTGAGACAGCAAAGGACTAGTTTAGATGTCCTGAGCTAATCTGAACAAAAACTGGGCCAAGGCCTGGAGTGACTTCATCCCCAAAGAAACAAGATAAGCCTGGGCTGCAGAGAAGATTCTGAGGGGAAGTTATTAGGTTCTTGAATAACTTCCTGAGCCAAGAGACACCAAATGCAAAACATTCTTAATCTATTCACAAAGGAATCTTCTAGTCAATATTTTGTTAGACAAAATAATTATCTGTTCAGAAAGGATACCTCAAATCTTGTTGTTGTGGGCGGGTGCTGGAGATTGAATCCAGGGCCTCAAACATGTGAAGCATGCACTGTGCCAATGAGCCAGATAGATCCCTGTCCCTCAATAAATCATCAGTAGTTTTGAGCTTTTCCTTTGTTAAGACTGGCCCTCCTCTTAATTCTAAATTATTATATAGGACTCAGTGATAAAGCACATGCCTAGCATGCATGAGGCTCTGGGTTCAGTTCCTGACATCACACACAAAAAATGTACCTATACACACATTATACATATATATATCTACACATAAGTATAAATACATACACATACATAAACACATACACTCCATATCATGTTTTCATAAAAATCTACAATATTTTTGGCACTGGGAATTGAGCCCCAGGGCACTCTACCACTGAGCTACATGCCCAGCCCTTTTTATTTTTTATTTCGAAACAGGGTCTCACAAAGTTACCCAGGCTGGCCCCAAACTTGAGATCCTCCTGCCTCAGCCTCCTAAGTCACTGGGATTACAAGTGTATGCCACTGCACCCAAATCTGTAGAATTATCTGAATGGAAAACTTTTTCCTAAAATTACAAAACCCCACTGTAACCTAGATTAGTGTTTTAAAACTGCCTTAAGATCTCAAATCCCAGCAACTCAGGAGGCTGAGACAGGAGGATTGCAAATTCAAAGCCAGCCTCAGCAACTCAGGAAGTCCTTGAGCAACTTAGCGAGACCCTGTCTCAAAATAAATAAAATGGGGATGCAGCTCAGTGGTTAAGTGTCCCTAGGGTCAATCCCTAGTACCATTTAAAAAAATTTTTTTTCAAAAGGTAAGTACACTAGGCTGAGCAGGTAAGGCCTCTGGACCCTCACTCCTGCTGGGGGTCACCATCTCCTATCACACGATTCCGACAGTTCTACATATTGAGCTTATTGACTAATCTGCTGCTTTAGAAAGGGGATTCTACAGTCACTGACTTAGAGGAGCAGATGCCAGAGCCACAAGGCCTAATACCCCACTGTCCAGAAACATGGGGAACGGGTCTCTTCAGGGGGACACAACCAAGCCTATGAGGAAGTGCAAATGACCTTCTAAGCATTTCTGGTGTCTCTTAAAAATCAACACAACAAAGCACATCAGGCTAACAGTCAACACGTTGCAAATGTTTACAAATACAATCATACACTGTTCACTCCATTCTTTAGGAGATGGAAAGTCCAGAATCCAGGCACAACCTGCCTTAAGCAAGTCAAGCTAGGTAATTCCAAAGGAGCTTCATGGTTATTCACATAAAAAATGGTTAGACCATTTGTCTACATAACATCACTTGTCATTAAAAATAAAACTTATTGATAATGTTTTATTTATATACAATCTCAAGAAATATGCACTGGGGTAAAATAAGAAAGCAAAGGCAGGATGGGGGAAAAGTAACAGCTTATTCCCTACATGTCTAGGGTTGAGGGTTCCCAAGCATCAGATGCAAGGTAAGGGAGGAGGAAGCAGGTCAGGGATGACAATGACTTTCTTTTTTAAATGGATAATTATTCTTAAACCTGCTCCTCAGACTGGATTTTGTACAACTCCGGCCAAAACATGATGCAAGGATATGATACCTTGGACACCAGGATCGTCACATGGACACAGGCTGAAATTTCCTATGAAAACAGAGCTTCAGATCTTTGTTACAAAAGAAAATGAGTGGAGAAGATAATGCTAATTGAAGTTAGCCAACCCCCCAAAAACAAATGCCAAATGTTTTCTCTGATATAAGGGGGCTGATTCATAGTAGGGTAGGGAGTAGGAGAGCATGGAGGAATGGACGAACTCTAGATAGGGCAGAGGGGAAGGAAGGGGGCAGGGGATTAGCAAGGATGGTGGAATGTGATGGACATCATTATCCAAAGTACATGCATGAAGACACGAATTGGTGTCAACATACTTTATATACAACCAGAGATATGAAAAATTGTGCTGTATATAATAAGAACTGTAATGCATTTTACCTTCATTTATTTTTTAAAAAATCAATTTAAAAAAAAGAAAATGAGGCAGTAGACAGATACTGACTGCTTATTCAAAAGATCAGAAAGCAATTTAATCTGAGCCAACCCAGGATAACTTAGCTTAAGGCACTGGGGTGGGACAGAACGAGTCCCTGCCAAATAGCTCTTGGGCTGGCACAGGGACAGTAGAGGGAGGCGCTTTGAATTGTCCACCTTCCCCATGGCTTCCACTGGGCACAGAGAGGTAAAGTAGGTAGAGGTGGGGGCTGGTACTGCCAATTTTCATTTTATAAATGGATTAACAGCATAAGTAGGTAACATGGGATTTTAGAGAATAAATCCAAACACGTTCAATTTCCTCTGGTTCTGCTACAAAAAGAAAAAAAAGGATGGCAATAGAAGAGGAGAAAGAATATGAGGGGAGGAGGAGATAGAGAGACAGACAAATGAATTTCAAGCAGTGATTATTTTAAGGACTTCTATTGTGACAAGTCAGAGGAATCTGTGAGTGGAAATGGGGATAACAACTCTGCTCACTGTGAGGGACGGCAAGAGGTGTCTTGGGAACATTTCGGTCTCCAGCATTCGGGGTCGGTTTTCCTGCCTGGCCCCTGGAAGAACATGCTTTTGGGTGTTTCTGGGTGGTCTCAGCTCCTTGGCTCTGAATTTGGCTTTGTAGCTTTGCACTTCCTGTTTCTGCAAAAGCTGCAGGGTTGCAAGGTAGTGAACTGGGCTGGGGTTGGAAGGGCCCAGCGGGCTCTCCTCAGGTAGGAAAGACCAATGCAGGCAGCACTGCTCAATATCAGCCAGCGGGGATGTCCAGAGCGCTGGGGAAGGGAAAGGTGGCGTGTCATGGACCTTCAGCTTGGCCACCTCAAGGGGTCTTTTCTCATCTTTCCCATCCACTGTTTTCAATCCATGTGCACAAGCCACACACTCATCCTTCTCCACACTCGGCACCTTGTCTTCCAGCTGCCAAGTCACGCTCTTACTCTTCTTACCCAGAATTTCCAAGCTGCTTGAGGGTGAAGGTTTTAGGGGAGGCAGAACTAGTAGGGCCTTGGAAGTCAAGGAGTCAGAGATGGAAAGCCCTCTGTTGGCACCTCCACTTAGATTCCCAGTGGCCTTGCCACTATTAGTCTCGAGGGTGGCCCAGTCTTCCACGCACCATATAAACTCCTTGATTTGCAGGCTTTTTTTTTCTCCATGAACATAGGAGGGAAAGCAAATTTTGTTAACCTCCCTGGACGTGGTGGTAGGACATTGACAGGACCCCTGACTCTGGAGGGTACTGCTCCTATTCTTCTCAAGGCCCCCCTCAGCCACAGCCCCTGCTTCCAATTTCCCGGTCTCTGTGGGAGGGCTGGCTTCCAGACTCCCTTGGGCAAGGCTGATGCAGAATAAGCAGCTGCTATTGGCACTTTCTCCTACCCTCGCCTTTTTTAGTTTCTTCCTTGGCCACATGCAGGCAGTTGGAGAAACCTTTCCCCAGCCTTTGACCTGCAAATAAACCAGCATGTTACTTCTCAAGCCAAATTACCCAACAAAGATGCCCCAATTTTAGCCACATCCCCGTTTTGGCAGTCTTATTTGAACCAATTTACCATTGAGCTACATTCTCAGCCCTTTTTATGTTTTTATTTTGAGACAGGGTCTCACTCAATTGCATAGGACCTCATTAAATTGCTGAAATTGATCTTGAACTTGCAATCCTCCTGCCTTGTCACTGGGATTACAGGTATTTCACCATGCCCAGCCCAATTTTATCTTAAAACTGACTCACCTCTAAAAAAAAAATCTTTCACTACCTATTTTGGCCTCACACTGAGCAATAATATTTATAATAGTATATGTTAATTCTAAATGCTAGCAATAGTATCTTTTAATACTAAAACAGTAGGCCATAATATTTGTAAATGGACACTTTGATAAGCAGACTATTTCTTTTCAGGTGTACATTAAATTCAGTACTAGTAGGATCCAAGTTTGAGGTTGGCCTCAGCAACTTAGCAAGACCCTCTCTCAAAATACTAATAAAAGGACTGGGGATGTACTCTGTGATAAAGCACCTCTTGGTTCAATTCCCAGTAATGATTTAAAAAAAAAACTAATAAATAAACTGTTCATTTTTATTCCACTTCCAAGCATTTCTTACACTGGCAGTGTGTTTCCTAAATGTGAAGAAACACTGTTCCCTGGATAAGCTGGAAGGATAGTAACAAGCAGAGGCCCATCCTGGGTGCACAAGAGCCCTGTGAGCCTACCTGTGCCCAAACCTCTAGTCCCCTGGCTAACCTAGCTAGAGAGATCTCTGTTAAAATAGGGGTACCACTATAAACCCAGTGACTCAGGAGGCTAAGGCAGGAGGATTCAAAGCTCAGCCTGGGCTACTGAGCAAGAACCTTAAGCAATGTAGTGGGATGCTGTCTTAAAAATAAGAAAAAGCCTGGGGCTAGGGTTGTGGCTCAGTAGTAGAGTGTTTGCCTAGCATGTGTGAGGTACTGTGTTCAATTTTCAGCACCACATATAAATAAATTTAAAAAATAAAGATCCACTGACAACTAAACAATATTTAAAAAAAAATAAGAAAGGCTGAGGATGCAGTCAGTGGTAAAGTGCCACTGGGTTCAATCCCCAGTATCAAAAAAATAAAAAAAGAAAGTGGGGTTTGCCAGGTAAAAAAATACAACCATATTTGCAATATACTTAATGCTAAATAAATTAAATGCTGTTTCTCTGAATTTCTCTGAAATTTCCTGAGTGTCCTGAATTTCTAGTTACTAAACCTGGCAACCTCACATTTAACCTTGGATTTGACCAGTCTCCTTTCAGTTTTAACTTTAGGATTCCACTCTTGATTCTAAGAACACATGAAGAACAAACACACAGGGTTCTACATAGAACCACAAGCACAGGCCCTCCAGGTCTCTTGGGGAGCTTAGCACAGTAGTGAGCAACAAGCCTGCCTTGCCCAATGACTGGCTGATGACTTCTGGCACATTATTTCACTTTTGGGGTATGGCTACTAAGAAGTTAATGAACAAATGTACTAGGAGCACTAAGTCCTGAGCTGGCCACATACTAAGTGGCCACAGACACCAAAGTGGCACTGCTCTTGTCACGAGTGATTCTGCCTCTGTTCCAA